CGTTGGGAACTGTTGATGAAACGAGTAAAAAGGCTTCAAACTATACTTGAATCTGCAAAAAGTATCTATCTTGCTCCATTAACTTTGAAGAATTATCTTCAAACTCTGGGAGAGATTCAAGATTACCTTAAGTATAAAAAATGGTACAATGGTGTAAGTTTATATATCTGAAATTTATACCAATTCTTTTAGAAACCTATTAGTTTGTTCATTACTGACGTTTTCCCTTCATTCTCTCCTTTTTACTCTAGGATAGAACAGCTGAATTCGACATTACACTTAGCCAGCTTCATGAAGAGTTTGAACTTGAATTCCTTACTAATAGTTTGACCGGTTTTGATTCTAAATAATAATTTTGACAAATTTTCACCAGCAAATCTTTTTTCGCATAAAACCTTTAATAAATTTTACATATTTTTTTATTTATGTAAATTCTTAACTATGCAAACACTTTATTTTCAATTTTTACAAATTATGCAAAAGATTATGTGCATATTGATCCGATTTCATGATACAAGTTGTCTAGAAATAGATTTTTTAAAAAAATTTGAATACATTAAGTTATAAGGAAAAGCTATTACTAAAAATGACACATAGCCTATATAGGATGAAAAAAAAAGCTAGGCTAATATTTTTACTATCCACCCATACCCTAATCGCTTTCATTGCACGTGGTTGAATGTTTATAAAATTTATTTACATAGTAAACCCAATAGTCCAATTCATTTCTTTAAATACAACGTGACATACATTCGATGAAGTATGCATCTTCTATCATAAGACAACAGACTTTACGGTTTATGGATATATTAGTATATACACATAATTTTTGACTCACAAAACATTTAACCCTGAGACCTTCTTACATTGAGAAAAAGAATCACCAAGTATTTCTTTAGATTCCGATTTCCTTCCATATTATCATAGAGCTGCACTAAGATGTTTTCGATCTCGAAAAATTTCTAGTCACAGATACAGTACAGTAACTTGATTTTCTTGCTTATCTAATTCCTCAGTAAGTTTACGGCTATTTACATACAAAAATACACACATGTGATAACAAAGATCAAATCCGGGCTGATCCCAGTGAAAACCATTGAGCTCGTTGAGGATCAATTAATGAACATCTATAAACAGAAAAAAAATATGATAGTTATTGGACGATTAAGTGCAAGTACATATATATACACTAATATATAAGTGACAAGTAAAATCTAATAAATTAGATAAGCTTCGGTTTATATAATGGATTATTTTTAGGGTTGCTTAATATTAGCTTTTGTGTGATTTAATGATGTTTTTGTTTTTTAATCCATTTTGGAATTTTTTTAATTTTGCTAATTATTTATCTTCAAATGTTTACAATGACGAAGTAAAGGAGTCCAAATGGTTTTGAGAATGCTACCTCATTAGCAACTAAAAAAATTATATTGCTATCATCGTAAATGATTTTGTTTATAATCGAGAAATTTAACTATATAATTAATAAAAAATCATATAATATAATTAGGTGAAATCCACTTATTATAGCCACTGGTTCCTCTCCCACCCGAGATTTTGACTTGCAATAAAATTTCATTAGAGACCTAACCATATCGTTACCACATATTCTTTCATCTTAAACAAAAACTTTTTCTCAAAATAACCTAAACTCATAATTGATCATGAACTGGAGTCCTTGTTTGACCAAACTTTAGTTAGCCGTAAAATTCATCCATCATTTAATTCTAATTCTATTGAAGATTTTGATTTTTTACTCATCAATTTCACCAAGACCTTTTAAATTTATTAATTCAAGAGATGCAGAATATATATAATCGTGCAAAGATAAAAGTTACTACCTGACCAGACTTAAGTCCCAGAAAGGTTGTAAATATTTTTGAAAATCAAGAAAGCAAGAAAAATTATTGGGTTAATAAGTTTAATTATTTGCAAAAAATATTAATTCTTTTTAACAAGCTTCTTGATAAAAATTACAAAGTGGTAAGATTTTATGTAGTGTCATACATACATGAATATAATGGTTCTAATGAATACGAAAAGGCAATTAATTTTTAGAAAAAGGTTTCTCAGCAATTATTACGTGAATCCTTTCAAATC